AGACCGGAGCACATGGCTGCAGCAAAGAGGGTGTTGCGCTACTTGTGCAGTACGTCGGGCATGGGGCTTGTGCTTGGAGGGCAGAGTCCAGTGGTCCTCACTGGGCACGCAGACGCTTCTTGGGCTGACGACCAGGCTACGCAGCGGTCGTCACAGGGTTACACCTTCAGCCTTGGTTCCGGCTCTGTTTCGTGGCGGGCTACCCGCTCGTCTTCTGTTCTCGGCTCCAGTTGTGAGGCTGAGATCTACGCCGGGGCCATGGCTGCACAGGAGCTTCGCTGGCTCACCTACCTGCTGACTGACCTCGGAGAGCCGCCTCGTTCTCCTCCAGTGCTGTACGTAGACAACAAGGCCATGCTGGCCTTGTGTCGAGAGCAGAGACTGGAGCACAGAACGAAGCACATTGCTCTCCGCTACTTCCTTGCTCGTGAGCTACAGCAGCGTGGTCAGCTGCGGCTTGCGTACGTGGCCTCTCAGGCCAACACTGCTGATATCTTCACCAAGGCACTTGCGCCTTGTGATCATCAGCGTTTCTGTACTCAGCTGGGCCTTGTGCCTACCTTGCCTCACTTGCTCACCCCTTGACCTTGTTTGTACTGTTGCATATATATATACACCTGCTCTTGCTTGTCTAGTCGTATATATATATGTAATCCTGCATGTGAACTGGCCTTGTGGCCTTGAACTTGTGCTCGGAATGTGTGGTGACTTTGTGATCCACCCTGAGCTTGCTTTGCTTTGCTTGACTGGTCTTGTGACCCCTTGTTCTCCCCCACTTTGCCTATGGGGGTGTGTCAGATTTATATGACAGAGCTACTGTAGGCTATAGTGGGGTAGCACATATGGGGTACAGTTTTCTAGGGTTTGCATTTGTACCCAACTTTGCCTTAGTCATTCTCATTCCTCGTTTCTTTTCACGACCTGCCAAGGATTTGTTTGCTGCAATTAAGCCCGCTACTCCACTCCCTCCTCCGCCTCTCTTGGTCGCCTCTTCATGCCGTTTTTTTTTTTCCCGACCTAAAAGCGCTTGACCGTACTGCTGACCTTGTCACCCACCTGCGCTCGCTTGACGTCAGCTATCGTGCTGCTCTGGCTTCAGTCAGAGAGAGGAGGTAGACTTCGTTCAAACCTTCTCCCCCATCCCAAAAATGACCACCCTTTGGGTGTTGCTGCATGTGGCAACACATCGTGACTACGATCTCCACTCTTTGGACTTCTCCACTACGATCTTCAGGGCAGTCTTCGTGAGCAGATCTGGCTGCGCCGCCCTCTTAGTTTCACTGGGTTGTCCCCTCCTGGCACCCAATGGAGCCTTCGCCGGCCTGTGTACGGTCTGCCTCAGGCCCCACGTGAGTGGCACGACAAGTTACGGACTACGCTTGGTGCTCTTGGCTTCTCTCCGTCCTCTTCTGACCCTTCTCTCTTCGTCCGCTCTAGTTCGACTACGTTCTACATCCTTGTATGCGTCGACGATCTCATCTTCGCTACCCCCGACAGGGCTGCACTGGTCTCAGCGAAGGTCGAGCTGCAGAGGAGAAATATGTGCGCTGACCTGGGTGAGTTGCGTCGTTATCTTGGCTTGCAAATGACCCGGGACAGAGTAGCGCGCACCATCACATTGACACAGTCACACATGGTGAAGCAGATCCTCGAACAGTTCGACTTTCGGTTCTCTTCTCTTTAGTCCGCACCTCTTGGTGTTGACCATGAACTTACGGCTCATATTCCCGACGAGCCTGCTGGGCCCAGTGGTCAGTATGTAGAGCTGGTGGGGTGCCTCGTGTAATTGATGACGTGCATACCCTCTCAGCATCGGAGCTCACATTGTTGCGTCTGGGAGACACCGACCTGCATGCTAGTCGGCCGCTAAGAGGGTTGTGTGCTACCTGGTGAGCACACCATGCATGTGTGCTTAGAGGGAGACAACCAGTCAGCCTCACCGGGCACACTGACGCGTCGTGGGCTGATGACATCGAGTCTGAAAGGTCTTCACAGGGCTATTGTTTCAGTCTTGGTTCAGGAGTTGTCTCGTGGAGGTCGACTTGTGCATCGTCAGTGCATTTGTCTGGCTCTGAGGCCGAAATCTACGCCGATGCTATGTCTTCCCAAAAGCTTTGATGGTGAGTCGCCTCGCTCTGCCTCGGTCATGTTGCCTGACAACAGGGCCATGACTCTGCTTTGTTAGGAGCCTTGACTGGACGGCAAGGCAAAGCATATTCAGCTATGCTACTTCCTACTACGTGTGCTGCTGCAGCGAAGACAGGCACATGTGGTACCTGTGGCCTCAGAGGCTAACACCGCTGATATCGTATCTTCACCAAGGTCCTTCAGCCTCGTGCTCATCATCGGTTCCGTACACAGCTTGGCCTGGTTATAGGAGGTGCACACTTGCTAGTTTCGTGATCTTCGCTGCTTGCTTTGTCTTTGACTCTGCATATATATTGTTGACTCGCCTTGTGGCCTCTCTGCCTCAAAAGGGCTGGACTAATGGTGCCGCCCTGAGTTTGCTTGTTGTTGCTGTTAAGTGACTGCCTCTAACCTAGACTAGGGGGTGTGCCAGATTATATTTTATATATGTTTCTACATGTTCGGAAGGGTTAGGCTTCAGTGAGTACAGCTCTTTGTATTTGTGATCTCTGTACCCTTCCCACTAGACACTTTCATTCTCTCGACACTGCCATATGGAAACTCCTGTTGCCCGATGACTGGCGCATTCACCATGCGTTCAACGTCAGTGTGTTGCGATCCCTTGTCACACCGTCGTCATATATCGCCCACCAGACGACCCTGCCAAGTGTTCGGCCTGTGTCAGAGCCAACATTCGAGCTCTGGAAGCCATAGTTAATAGAATGCGATTGATGCGATTAATTTATGCGATTCACGTCGACCTGTTACTACGAATGCCGAACCAGCGATGCCTGTCTTGTTTTAGGGGCACTTCGTACTTTGGGATTACTTTTCCCGCCGACGCTTGCCTGATGAGAACAACCTTTTTTGGAAGGTGGGGTAGTGTATGGAAATTTCCACTTATTTATGAGTGTACAGCTCCAACTTTTCGAAAGACCAGCCTCGGTCTGATGTCTTTGCCTCCCGGAGCTGACCCGCTTCGTCTTTGGACTTGGTGTTTCCATTCCAGCACCCAGCCTTGCCTTCCGAGGTCCCCGCCTAGCTAGACCCTTCTTTATATTTTCTATAGGCCTAGTTGTCATTAGTTGTAATCGGTCTTTACTCATAGTGTAACAATAGTCTTCGATATTGTCAGATATAAACTCATAACACCTCAGCTTGTCAGATACCACCGCCGGAACCACACCTGGCGTAAGCCGGGAAAAGCGATGTATGTCATGTCAGTGCCGAGTGCCGGGCCCTGCCGGGGAAAGCGACTCGAGTCAGTGCCGGGTCCCGGCGTAAGCCGGGCAAGTTAAGAAACGTTAAGGGAAAAGCATTTACGAACAAAAGCAAGTGTGAACTCGCGCGTGTGACAAATACATGGTTTGGGGGGTTCGAGTTGGCGGCTTTGAAGCAAGGTTTTGGAAAACAGACTTGGTTAACGAAATACCGCTCGTATTCAGTCATGTCGGGGTAACTGCCTTGCTAACATATGATCTGGTCTGCGATTCAAACCGTACGCTCACGGTCGGACTTATATCATGATCGCAGGATATCCTACCCAACCATATGTTTTCCAGACTTGACTGTTTCATAACGTGAATCACCTCATCTAACCGTAGACGAGTGTAGGGTGTGTGATAGCACCGTGTGGGTGCGGTGCGGTGAGCTTCTACAAACCGTTCTGTTCTTACACCCGACTCGAAGCCAATCAAGCGAGATCTATTCTCCTTCTACAAGCCGTTCTGTTCCGTGGCACCCCCTGAGAGTCGCGATGTCCAGTGCGGTGTGGGGGACGAGAAGTGGGGTTCTGCTGAGAAACGGAGGAAAAGCAGAGTCCGACTCGTCTGGGCCGTGGCATGAGTTTTGTCCAAACAGCTGTCAGTGCTGCTGACTGCCACCGTGAAGCCCGCTCCCAAATCAGGCCAGCTCGCTCAAGTGCCGCTATCTTATAAGAGAGAGCCCAGATCTGTCTGGCAGATTTCCCCACTTCAGATGTAGAGAAAGCATCGCCGCACCTCTCTCTCCCGACCATCTTTGCCACGCACCTTTCAATCAAGCTACTCAATTTTCAAGCTTAGCGAGTCTCGACACGTTTCAGCCACTACCTAGCGCCGCCAATGACACACCAAGCGTGTGGCCGGGGGCGCCGTGGCTTGTTGCTGATGACGTTGTTGTCTGTTAGTAAGCAGCAACAGAAACACGTCGTTCCACGGACGAAGCTACTGCAAGTAATCCCCGCCCTCGCGACTCTCGTTTGCGTTCAAGTTGCTCTCGGCGCCATTCTCGTCATCGGCTTCTCTCTCTGGTCGTTTCCTTCTCGTGATTCAGATGTTTTGTTCGCTGGTCAGGTCCTGCGCAGCGGCTGGGTCAACGAGTCATACTTAATACGTCGCCTCGCTGCATCTGCGACAATTAATACTCTAAATACTACTACCACTACTACTAGTACTCGTATCAATAGTACTACAAATAAGCTCCTATTTTCCCCATTTCGCGTCGTTGCCTGGAACAAGCGTGCTCAAGACGCGGTCGTCACCGTTCAACAGGAACTTCCCTCAGGAACGGCGGCGTTCAGCATACACGCCGACTCGGAGATAAAGAGTTTAATCGACGCGCTCCGAGCCGCGGAATCCGAATCATCTGCTCCCACAAGTTTGAAATCCCCGGGTCCGTTGAGAACGTGGTGGGAGTGGTTGCGAGCGGCTTTCTATCATAATGGGGACGATGATGATGATGATTATTATTATTATTATTTTAATAACACTGACGTGTCTGACTTGGATGATTGCGGCAGCGGCCCGGCGAAGTCGGAACAAAAAGAGTCTGGCGGCGGCGGCGGCGGCAGCGGCGGAACAGCAGCCGCGACATCGTGCGCCGCGTGCCCGTCAATGGCATCTCGGCCGTTGGAAACGGACGATCATGATGCTGCTACTACGAACCGCAATGGCTCCAACGTGGGGATAGAAACGGGACGGCGGGGGGAAGCGGAGGAAGTACGGGGAAAGAAGGGGGGCGGCGTCTCGGAGCAAGAGGAGAAGGCGCAACAGCAGCAGGATGAGGAGAAATTAGGAGGAGAGGAGGAGGAGACAGGGGTGCGACATATTCTCTTCAACATCGCATCGTCTAATGCCAGCTTCTCGAAGCGCGTGCGCTACCTACGCGCGTGGTGGCGGTCCGGGAACCACGCAGACTCCGCCTCTTCAGAGTCCGATGCTCCTCTTCGCGGCTACGTGTGGATGGATGACGTGGCGCGTTTTTCCAAGGCGCTCCGGTGCGGAGTGGGCGGCACCCCCCCTGTGCGGGTGAGCAGCAGCACGGCGCATCTGAGTTACCGGGGGGTGGCGCTGCGGGATTATGTGCGCATGGCGCGGGTCGTCGTGGACGCGTACAGGCTCGGCGAGAAAAACGTGCGATGGTGCGACTCCGGTCACTCACTCCCTCCCTCCCTCCTCACTCGCTCGCTCGCCCACTCCCTTAATTGGTCTCTCTCACTTCCTCGCTCACGGAACTCGCACTCTTCGCATCTCCCCTCTCATTCCGCTAATCGTAAACAGTGACTACGGTCCAGATTTCTTAAACGTCTCCTGCTCTTCTCTCCTCCCCCCACCACACCAAGTACGTGATAGGCGACGACGATACCTTCTTCAGCCCGCACGTCAACGCGGCCTTCAGGCCTCAATTTACAAAACCACTCCCGCACTTCCCGCAACCACCGCCCTCTCTCCTCCCTCTCACCCTCCCCTCCTCCGTCCCCTCCCCCTACCCCTCCACCAACCAGGTACGTGATGGGCGACGACGACACCTTCTTCAGCCCACACGCGCTAGCAGCCTTTCTCCAGCAGTACGACCATCGCGCGCTGCTCTACCTCGGATCCACGTCCGAGACGCACATGCAGAACGTCGACTTCACGCGCACCATGGCGTTTGGCGGCGCGGGGTTCGCCGTGTCCGCGGCGCTGGCGCGCGCGCTGAGTGCGGGGGACGGCATGGACCCGTGCCTGGAGAGGCATGCGAAGCTGCGGGGGAGCGACGAGCGCGTCGCTGCTTGCATCGGCGAACTGGGAGTGAGTCTCTTTTCTTCTCTAACCTGTCGTGGCTCTCCAATAGATGGAACTGAAGCTTCCAGCATCCTGGATGCAAGCGCTGAGCGGGGCGGACGGGCGGCTTGGACCCTTGTTTGGAGCTAAGTGGACATGGACGCGTCCAGCGTCCCATACGCTAGCGTATATACGCTGGACGTTCTGATGTCCATCCCTGGACGCTAAATATACGCTTGGGTCGGGCAGGCTAAAAACCTTATCGGGCAGGGGGAAATAAAGCGGGGGGAGAGAGGGGAAAAGGGGGAAAGGGAGCGCCATAAGGATTACGCCATGGAATCGCGATGGTAAACGTTACTTATGCTGGAATGAGATGTTACGCTTGATTGAAGGAGATTCCTAAACGGATGCCGTAGATTCTAATTTTGTCAGCGTAAACGCTAGTCTTGGTGAGCTACCTGTTGGGAATAATCTGGTCGTGGGTGAGTAAGTGAAACCTAATCGTCAACTAACTCTGGCTGGGAAATGGGCCTGCCAGAGTTAGTCGATCTACTTACAATGGGTTCGCTTTGCTAGATTAAGAGGGGTGAAATGCGGTAGAAACCGAAATCCTTGGACAATTTTGTTGGATCTGGTTCTGTTTTGGCGAGATTGAACAAGATCCGCTTCGAAATTAAAGCAAGGGTGCACATTCCTAGGGGTGGTTTTCGGGTGTATTTGTTTGGTACACCCTCTAGGGTGCTATGAATGGTTGGCGAAGAGTCCAACCATTTGAACCACTGGAGCTAGGGTTGGAGAATGTGCTGGCGAAACACAATCAAATTCGTCGGCCAGTTGGGTTGGGGGAACAGACGGGGGAAGGGGAGGCAAGTGATAAACCTTTGAGACAACCCCCCCCAAAGTGCACCCTTGCTTTAACATTCTCGCTGAAATCGCAAACCTCAGTTTCGTCGCACGATTATTTTCGTCGGGCTGCCCGAAAAAAATCGAGGCGAGCGTCCAGCGCCCAGCGGACGGACGCTAGCGTATACACGCTGGACACTCGCCGTCCAGAGCGGGGAGCGACGAGCGCGTCGCTGCTAGCATCGGCAAGCTGGGAGTGAGTGCCTTCCCGTCTTGACTCATTCTTTTTTAGGCGACGAAAAAATCGCTGAGTGCGGGGGGGGGGGCATGGACCCGTGCCTGGGGAAGCATGCGGAGCTGCGGCTGACTGATGCGCCTGATGCGCGCGTGGCTGCCTGCGTGGGAGAGCTGGAAGTGAGTCCTTGCCCCGCTTGGCACTTGGAATCTTGGCACTCGCACCACCATTCAACCGCTGCACTTGTTCCGTGCGTCCTGCACGCTTCGCCCTCTCAGCTTCTCCCCTCTTTTGCGTCTCCCTTCCCGCCTCCATTCCCTCCTCCGATTCAACCCCCCCTCCACCCCCCCCCCCCTCCCTTCTCCCTGCCACCCCCCACCTCCCCCCGCCCTCCCTCGCTCCGCCCTTACATTCACCCACACCCCTACCAATCTTCCACTGCAGGTGTCCCTGACTGTGGCTCCCGGCTTCCACCAATGCGACTTGCACCACAGCCTATTCGGGCTGCTCATGTCGCACCCGGCGCAGCCCCTCCTCTCCACTCTCCCCTCTCCCCTCTCCCCCCCGCCACCCCCCACCTCCCCCCGCCCTCCCCCGCTCCGCCCTTACATTCACCCCACACCCGTAACCATCTTCCGTTGCAGGTGTCTCTGACTGTGGCCCCCGGCTTCCACCAATGCGACTTGCACCACAGCCTATTCGGTCTGCTCATGTCGCACCCGGCGCAGCCCCTCCTCTCCCTCCACCACTTCGACACAGTGGACCCCATTCTAAAACCCGTTGGGATCAAGAACAGGGCGCAGGGGCTTGCCACGCTGGCAAAGCTGATAAGGCCCGACCCGGTCGGGTTTGCACAGCTGGCAGTTTGTGGAGACGGGTGAGTGGGGAGGGTGGGGAAGAAGGGGTAGAGGGGTGGGAGCTGGAGGAGGATGGGGGGAGAGGGTCATTTACGTAAAATCAGGCCGCGTACATGTACGGTTATGTGTAGTTACGTTTGCTTACGCGTACGTACGTCGGGCAGCCCTAAAACTTGTCGGAGTTTTTTTTTTTTTTTTCCTAGCATTTCACACATCGCATCGTAAGCTGCTGCTAATAATCTCGCGCGGAGGATTGGCCCGCTGCTAAACGATGTCGCGAACCACAAACCAGTCTAAGTTAGCGTCGCCAATCAATAACTAACTATGGCCTAGTGACGACTTGGAAGTATGCCTGAGACAAGCTTGTTCGCTTTTTTCTAGTGCTGTGCGTTGTGTGTTCCCGTTGTCACTCTACAAACATCTGTGTTGCCTTTTCCTCCAATTGTCTTTGGCGACTCGAAATGTTGAACCGCGCAAGCGGGATATCGAGCCACCAAATTTGGTGCAAAACTAGTTTCGCGCGCCAATGACGTTGCAGGAGTTCCGGACCGTCCGAATTGCAGAACGGACGGTGTCAGCAACGTAAAACGGACGATGATTTGGGTGAAAAGTATCAGTCTTCGTACGGACGATTGCGACATCGCAAAGGGTCACGCGAAGTCGGTTACGCAGTACGACGACATCTGTAACCCTAAAATGGTCCGGAAGGGGCCTCCATCCGGACGATGAAAGGCGAAAAAGTTTCGCACCCTTAGTTTCGGAAACAGCCGAACAAGCTGGTTGAAGTTCTGTCAGCTCATCAAGCCTAGGCAATTTCGCGACACCTAGGAATTTGCGACCACAGAATTGGCGAAAGCTCCCAATTCTCGGCAATCTACTTTTGCTACACCCTACTTACGGCATTTTGATGCTTATGTTATTATGATTGGATGAGGTTGTAAACATTCCTTTTTAAACGAGATTGTTGTATCGACAGGTGCAGGGAGAATACCGGCAGAGCATAAAAACTTTTAACCTGCCCGTACATCAGGGTAAGTTTCCGGTGGTGCGTAAACGTACGCACACGTAAGCGTACGTAAACGTAAAACGGCGTACGCGCAGAGGTAAAGGAGGGGGAGAGGGAGGGGGAGAAGGAGAGGGAGAGAGGTGGGGAAGGAAGCTTGAGAGGGAGAGGGAGAGGGGTTGGGAGTGAGGGTGGGAATGAAAGGTGAGCTCGAGGTGCTGCAGGCAAGCAAGCCAAGAGATTGCGCACAAAGGAAGGGGGCGGATGGGATGCGGGGGTGGGACGGACGTGTCAGGCGAGGACAGTAGAACCATTCAAGCAATGGTGACACGATGACATGGCGACCTAAATGAATGGGCTCATTGTGTATTGCAAGCTTGTAGCCTCATCCCTCCCCCATCCCTCCCCCATCCCTCCCCCATCCCTCCCCCATCCCTCCCCCATCCCTCCCTCATCCCTCCCCCATCCCTCCTCCATCCCTCCCCCATCCTTCCCCCACTCCATCCCTCCCCCATCCCTCCCCCATCCCTCCCCCATCCCTCCTCCGTCCCTCCCCCATCCCTCCCCCATCCCACCCTTATCCCTCCGTCAACCCATGCATCCCTCTTCTCTCCCGCCCTCCCACTGACCCAACGGTGTTCTTTCTGCAGAGCCAACTGGACAGCAGCCATTTCGTGGGGCTTCGCAATCAAGATCTATCCCGGGGTACGTGCGCTGGGACATTGTTGGGACATTGTTGGGACATTGTCGGGACATTGTTGGGACATTGTTGGGACATTGTTGGGACATTGTTGGAACATTGTTGGGACATTGTTGGAACATTGTTGGGACATTGTTGGGACATTGTTGGAACTTTGTTGGAACATTGTTGGGACATTGTTGGAGAGCAGCGAGGGAGAAGTCGTGGGACATTCTACCAGAGGGCTGCAGTGCTTAGGATTCAGCACGTATCCGCTGGGTGGGTGGTCAGAGCTACAGCACCGAGTGAGAGCACCGAGTGAGAGCACCGAGTGAGAGCGCCGCGTGAGAGCACCGAGTGAGAGCACCGAGTGAGAGCGCCGAGTGAGAGCACCGAGTGCCCTGTCTTTCTTCCTCCACCTTCCCTCCCCCACCTTTTCCCTTTGAACTTCAGCCACCATGTCTCTCCCACATGGCACATGGCACATGCAGTCGCAATCAGAGCTATGGTGCATTTTTTAGGCGCCTCAGAAGTTGACCCCCTCAAAGGTATACCCTTCCACTCCACCCCCGCCCCCCTTCCACCTGCCGCCCGCATGGCTCTCCCTCTCCCATGTGCTGCATGGCAGGAGCGGCAGCTGTCGGAGTTGGAGCGGCTAGAGCGCACGTTTGAGTCGTACCGGTGGAACAAGCGTGCGCCCGCGTTCACCTTTGATACACGACGTGCGGAGGTGCGCCTGGGTGTGAGGATGTGGGTGTGCGGGGTGTGGGGGTGTGAGGGTGTGTCTGGGGATGTGGGTTTGTGTGGAGGTGTACAGGCAGGTGTGCATGTGTGCGGGCGTTGTGTGGATGCAGTGACAGTCAAGCTGTCGAGTTCCCCGATGTGCTCTGCCACGTTTGAGTCGTACCGGTGGATCAAGCACTCTCACGCCTTCACCTTTCATGCACGCCGCTCCGTGCTGCGCCTGCAACAGGATGGGTGTGGCGGTGTGAGCGTGTCAAGATTTAAGGTTGTGTGTGGGTGTTTCTGAGACGTCTCAAAAACGGTTTGAGTCGTACCGGTGGATCAAGCTTTCGCCTTCGATACACGCCACTCGGAGGTGCGCCTGCAAGGGGGTTTGGGGTTGAGTGGTGATGTGTGGGTATGTGTGTGAGTGTGTGGGTGCATCTAACCTTCAAGTGGTTGAGTTCCCGATATGCCCAACCACATGCGTCTCTGCCGTTTTCTCCTCACCAACCAATGCACCCCCACCCCCACCTGCTACCCCACCCCCACCCCCACCTGCTACCCCACCTGCTATCCCACCTGCTACCCCACCCACACTCGGGCCCGCCGCTATCCCCACTTCCCCTTCCTTCCCGCAGCCCGATGCGCCTGCATACAGGCCATGTGCGCTGCCCTTCACCCTGTATGCCTCTTACGTGGGGGCATTGCAACACCCTCTCAACGACACACATGCACATCCCATCAACACTTCTCGTGGATTACGTGTTGAAGCACAGTCCATGGGTATGGGCAGCAGGAGAGGCAAAGAGCAGATGCCTGTGGTGAGTGTGTACAATCGCACACCACTCGGAAGCACCGCACCCGACCGCTCCCACTGCCCTCTTTTGATCTCCAGAGTGACAACAGCATATGTTATCAGACCAGAAGGGCCAATGCGGATAGGAAGTGGGTTTCATCGGGCCGGGTCTAACTTGAGAAGACAAAGATGCTCCAAAATTGAAGTGCTTAAAGATTCGATAACCGTTTGGTTCGAAAGCTAGCAGAATTTATTTGCATGTACATTTCTAATTCACTTAATGAATAAACCAACATACCGTACCCCCCTGCATACAAAACCCGGGGGAGGGTTTTCGTATCTCTAAAATTACATATAATTGTTAAATTACATATTTGCATGTTAGGCTACAGTGAGCAGGGTCGTCGCTAGCAGAAACTTCTTGTCTGTTTGTCTTATATTCAGATCGAGTTTTTCGAGTTCATCTGATTTTTCAGAAATTGTTTTTTTGTAATTTCTGATTGATAAGTAGTTTTTGAGTTTATCTGATCAATCAGGTTCTGGTTTTGGTTTCATCTGATACCGAATCCAACTATGTAGGGGTGAATATGGGATTCGAGTTGTGAATGGGCGGATCTGATGCGTCAGGAGGCGAATCTGTTAGTGTCAGGGGGCGAACCTGTTAGTGTCTGGGGGCGAATCTGTTAGTGTCAGGGGGCGAATCTGCTGTGTCAGGGGCGAAATTGTTGTGAAGGGGCGAATCTGCTGTGTCAGGGTGACGGCGAATCTGCTGTGACGGACCGAATTTGCTGCGAGGGGGTGATTCTGCTGTGACTGGTCAAGTTCGAATCAATTGCATCGAGAAACCCATTCGATTGGTCAGACATGCATTTCGAAAATATCTGATACATCAGACACGGTAAAAAACAGAATCTGATGGATCAGACGGGCCCGAAGAGCTCGTCTGATGCATCAGGCGCCCTCAAATCCTAGCGACGACCCTGACAGTGAGGTCCTCTTAAGAGAGTACAACCCTTTTGGGTTTGCACATATGTATCCCCATCATTCCTAGTTCATACAGTTCCGCTGTTTGTACTTTGACATGGTATCATCATAGATTGTTCCTAGGATCCTAGCCCACCACACGAACCACCAGCACCACCACCACCACCGCAGAGGATTGGCGCACTGCCGATGGCCAGCTCGCGCGGTTCGAGCAGAGAATCCCGCCGCGCGCGAGCTGGAAGCTGCACACGTGGCACGGCCCTCGGTAAAACGGCGCCGCACGGATGCTCATCACAGTTGTTACGATCAGAAGTTGATCGACCCCAGAATCATCTCAGGAAGGTTCGCACACTTCTAATCTAGTGGTGGTGGGCCCTTGACCTCAATAGCAGAGTGAATGTAAATGCTTGAGATGATTAAAACATGCGGTACAAGGAATATAAATAAGAGTACACGGGAATTTGAATCGACCTAGCTAGCCATGTACTCTAAGGGGTACATTCCCTTATTACATCGAAATCCAACCGTGCGACTCCAGACAGCTACGAAACTGTCCGGGCAGAATCCTCGCTACTGCTGCTGCCTGATGTTGTCTGCCCGACGGTCCAGATGCTTTCGTAACCGTGCGACCTTTCGGGTCACTCGCGCCTTTTCGCCTTCACTCTCGGTAGTGCGTGCTTCGTTTGCTGCGGTGAGGAGTGCTCAGTAGTGTTTCAATAATTGCGATTCGTAACAACAGTGGCCGATCGCGGCGCAATGACCTGGTTTGCCGCTAGAATCGCAAAAGATGAGGCGGCGGCTGCCGCGGCGGCGGCGGCGGCTGTGGCGGTGC